GTTATCATTGTTATTATTCTTATTATTAACATTATCATTACCTAAACAGTCATCATTATTATTGTCATCATCGTCGTCCTCGTCTTTGTCATTACCATTATCATAACCATCATCATCGCAGTAGCCGTTGTCACCAGCATCAGTGTCGTCGTCAGTGCCCTTGTCGTTGCTGTCGTCATCTTCATTTATATTATTATTATCGTCGTCGTCGTTTTTGCCGTCGTCATCATCACCATGATTGTCGTCATTGTCACTATCATTATTTTCATTGACACCGCATCATCATCAACATCATTATTATCATCATCACCATTATCATAATCATAATCAAAATTATAACCATGATCATACTCATCATCACTATCTTCACTAATATTAATATTATTATTATCATTATTATTATTGTTATTATTTCAATTGCTGTCATTATTATCGTTTTGATCGTTATTACATTGTTTGGCTCGCAAAACTCATTTTTGGCTTTTTTTTCTATGCTCATTTTTTTCATAGTTTACTGTCCTCAATCTTATCTTTTTGACAAGACTTGTCGTACGTTATTAAATGTTCTTTTTCTGCTATTTGTAACCGTAACTTTAAAAGGACGATAAGGAGGCAACTGAGGAACTAAGGGAAACACAAGTGAATATGGGACACTTTTTGGTGGTTTTGAAAGGAAGGACTATGAAGAGACGTTAAGCATCACATTTTTGTACCTACATTTCTTTATTATTATAGTCTGCTTCAGTCTCCTTGATTTTCTTTTCCATCACACAGTAATCAGCCGTAACCGGTTTGATTTTATGTTTCATCTTTTTTTTTGGCTTGCTTGATACATCTGGTTCTTCTGATCTGCAGCACATAAAAAGTGAAATTTTTTTGTTTTTGAATCTTAGTGCAAGAAAATTTTTTGCATTTGTAATTTTTTTTTCGAGACAGACGGAAAGAAATAAAAATTTTGCTGTGATTACGACAGTAAAATGTTAATGAAGCGTCTGAAACTTCATTTACAATTCTCATTTTACAGTGTACTGATACTGGAGAATGTGAATTTTGTTGAAAAATGAGAGGTATGGTGCGAAGAAAGTGTTAAAAAGAAGGCATTTTGGTCGAAGTTTTAAAACCTATCTCAGTAGAATTTTTATTGGTTTTAACTCCGATTTTTACGAAGAGAAGGGTTTACTGAAACCTCTTCTGAAGTGCTTCACTGAATTTTGTAAAAAATTTTACCAACAAATCCACCCCTTTACTACTACAGTTGACTTAACAAATGCTTTTCCTGCATCTCCCTAAGAGTGAATGCACCCTGAGATGTAAAGCAAGATGAAATTCACTGAAACCCTCCGAAACAGTTACCGGTTGTCTTAGGCATATCTGTTGCAAAACAGTTAGTAAAGAGAGAAAAATAGAAAATAGTAAGCTTGAATGCTAAGTAATTACTATCTTGCTCGTTCCAAAGTTTCCTGTTTATCATTCACTTCTTTTTCCGTATCGTTTATAACTGTTCAAAATTAAAAAAGAAAGTTTAAGAAGAATTGTTTTGTTGAAAATGTTACCAATAACAATAAACGTCTCAGAATTACCTTTTCTGTGCCCTACTTTCTCTCTTTTTTCCTCTAAAATTTTGATTCTGTCTTTTTATTTTTATCTGTTTACGGTTTCTATTTCACACTCACAACCTTCCGCTTTTTTGTTGCCATTTATTGTACGTACAAATCTAGAACGTATTGCATAAATTTTTTTAAATGATCTTCAGCGCATATATCGTTACAGTAACCGAGAATCATTAAAATTTCAACTTCACGCTCAGGTGCTGTTCACAAATGGCAGTAAAACAACATTTACTAAGCACCGACTATTGTCGATCAGAAGTCATTTTCCTAAGTGATCAACAGTAAAACCATTTGCTTATTAATAAATGGGTGCGATGGAAGTAGACGGTAAAAATGCCAATCCGGACACATTTCCTCTACACTCTTCTAAAGGGTAGCATCAATAACAAGCTTGCAACTGACTTTTAATGGGCAAACTCTTCAAGACATGTTTCCTCCAAGGAGCTGTTGGTCAACTACTGTAACTAATATTATAACGCTGCGGTAGATCGACTGAAATTTCTTGGGCAAGTTGCAAAAACTGCTGCTGCATTATTCCGCTTTTTGCTACTAAAAAGAACGATTTGTCCGTCAGCCACTGACTCACAGTGCTACTGTGTTTGAATAGTCAGAGAACTTTTCGCCTACTTTCAGAATCAGTGCCTATCTTCTAATATTAGTGTCGATATTTGGTGCCGTTCTTTTGTTATTCAAAAAATTGTAGAAAAGTAGCGAATTTAATCTACAAATCAGTTGTACAAACGTTTTGCACGACGAAGTGTATGCGAACTGGAGCCTTAAATCGCGGCAGAACCTGATTCTGCACTACAAGTC